CCTCTGCCAAGTCAAGGGTTGGCCACCTCTCTGTTTACGCCACTCTGAATTGGGCATGGAAAACAGCACTTTCTTCGGCAAACGGTGGTTCGGCATACGTAACACATGTCCCAACCAACGCAGCTTCTGGTGCTGGACACATTCTTTGATGGAAGTACCCGTTACACAACCGAAAACGCGCTTTCTAACTGCCTAATTACGGATTCGCCGACACCAATTCACACGAGCTATGGTTCTGAGACAACGATTGTCGAACACCTGAAAACGTCTCAGTTCCGCTGCTCGAATAGGCCAAGTCTCACAGCCAAATAATACACTAATGCTACATCAAACCTGAATTTTGCACTCGGGCCCAAACTACTGCGTAAATCGGACGAGTGACTCATCTCGGTTTTTCTGGAAACGACGAACTAGATCCATTTAGCTTGAAAGAACGAAACGAGTGTTAGGATCAGACCCAGATAACGGGCAGCGGTCATTAGTCGATTCTGCATCAATATTCATCGTTGACTATGAGGAGGAACCAGATTGCATCTAGTCCTAGAAACCGCAGGCATCGGGATTCAAAAGGCTTGTGCTGCGCGATCAAAGGTTTTTTGACTCAAGTTCTTCACTCAGCACAGCCGAGCTAGTCAGCAGATCAGTCAGAAAACATCACAGATTTAGTTGGCTGAGCCGAACGATCCTGATATCGGAATGTCCCCCAACCGCTTTTGGCCACGTGTTTCTAATTCTGTTGACCTCAAAATTCGTCTTCTGATTTCGCCAACTTTCGCATGTCGACTAGCCCTCATATGTGTGACGCGATGACTGGAGAAACACTTTTAGCACAAGAGTCTTCTTAATCCATAAACATAAGGCATACGTTGTGAGATCTTGACAGTAATTGTGGACACAAAAATCACTAGGTACCTGCATGGTGACAAGCAATTCAAGACATCAAATTACACACTGTTTTGGGTGAGGGAGTGGGCTGAATTCAGTTCCACGGTGATCGGGCAGCCTGAATCAATAGTTTTTACGCACAAAGTTTAGGTCAATCTGTCTCGAGACAGATTGCGTGACATTGTGCTGAGGACGTTAATGGAATTGACCAGGTGGCCTGTCTCAGTGATGGGTATTAAGACTGATGACATTCAGTTTGGTCTGGTCACCAGTGATGTTTGTTGATGCAAGGACTGTAACAAATGATGTGTGACATGCTCCTCTATGATTCTCTAAGAAAAAAACGTCTATTATTTTCACCTGCGACAGCAATAACGCGGAGTCCTTGAAAGAGATGTCAAAGCACTGTTCGGTGTAAAGATGCAGGGAGTGCTCAGCACTTCCATGTGACTGGTTTTTCTTGGATGGCCCGTAAAACATTTTCAGTAGAAACGTTGTTTTACGGCAAAACGGCTACAGAGTGAAAACTGTGTTAGCCAATGACCAATGAGGAAAGCTCGTTTCCCCACACGAGACTCTGAGCCTTAAACCATGTGTGTCACCAGTACAGCTGATGCGATGTACTTTGTGCTTGAAGTTTGGGGATGACCATATCCCGAGCACTATAAGTGCGCAACGAAAAACATTTATAGTGCAACCCACTAGTGTCTGGGTTTGATAACCTCGGTCAGTCTGCAACTGTTCGGGCTCTTCAAACTTAGTTGATGAGTTTCGACGAGGAGAGAGCTTTTTATGATTAATGTTTTCGAAAAATTGAAGTAACCCTACTAAAACAGTCGGTAGAATTGAAAGCACAGATGTATCGATAAGCACCTAGGTGAAATGCTCTGACTATTCACCGCTATTCGGACGACTACCCGAATACTCAGACAGCTGGCTGTTTCAATAATCGTACACAAGCCCGGTTCCCTAAGCTATGAGCACTTCTATAAGTTCTATTGTTCTCTGATTCCCTAGGGTTAAATTTAACTTGATTCCATTTATTGAAACCTAATCCGAATCGAAAAAGCAGATTGTGGGACTCACAAACTGATTTATACCAGATTACATGGTGATTCGAAATCTCGTGATTCGAATTCTTAGTGTACACTGTCACTCTGGTGATCTCACTACAGGAACTCATAGTTTCACTTGTAGATTCATATTCACAGCTAACCGAGGTTGTCAGTTCCCGAAATTTTTTAAAGTCGCATTAGATGGAACAACTCTCGCTGTATTCAAAACACTTTCCAGCAACGATCGTTCTATGCTATTCGGTGATGGTTTGAGAAATACTCGCGGAAATTTCCCTTTTGCCGAAATATTTCATTTCACACGGGAGTATCCGGTGCATCAGTCTGTATCCAGACAGGTGTCTCCCTGACTCCGTGGATTAGGACAGAATCGTGACCAGTCGGAGCAAGCACGAATTCGAGAAGTGTTGCCGGAAATCCACGTTACAGAACAATGGTGTCGCACATGACTGAGATCGGTATGACAGTACGCAGTGCCTTACCTGATGC